AAAAAAAAAAAAAAAAGAAAATTCTGGGTAAGGACCAAAGTCTCAGCATACATGTACATAACTATTACTAAGGTTTTGTAAGCATCTCCGTAAAAGAGAGGTTTAGAGACAGGAATGATATGGCTTTGTGGATGTTTGCACAGATGCCAAATATGAGAAGAGTGTGGGAGAAAGCATGTTTAAAAATGGCTGACAAAGCTGACATCAATGGAATAAAGCTGACATCATGGCAGAAGTGGAAGCCAGCTTTTCAATAGTGTAGGAGATATGATATATGGGGAGGGGACAGGCTGTGAAGAGCCTTGAAAGTGAAGACAAGTAGTTTGAATCAATACTTTCAACAAGATTAATGGCCATCTGCTGTCTCTAATGAATGGAAAAGGCTATTTTTAACAAGTTGTGGCATACTTACTTCATAGCATAGGGAGTGTTTTGGGCTGTGGGACTGTTCCCCGAACACCCAATGCTAAATCTGTTTTAGAATTAACCCTATTGGGTTAACGGTTTTACCTTTTAGGGTACTAGATAACTATTAAATACCCAGGTAACCCTCTTTTTGATGTAGCTGTCATTACTAAAATTGATAACTGAACAAACTGAAGCAGAAAGATGAGGGTCGAATCCAAATTGATTTTGTAGGTGCCTCCACTTGGGTGTTGCAACACCTAGAATGTAGGCCTCTTGTCTTGGGCATGTTCTGAATTGACAGGTTTTGGGCCCTAGGCTTCTTATACAGTGAATGGAAAGACTTGGGAGTTTCCAAGGGGGGATCCAGATTGCCTAATAGTTCAGCAAGGTTGCACCTACAGATAACTACCTGGAAACTGAACTCCCGATTCTCCGGTATCAGTTTAATAATTTAACACGGGACTGCAAATGAGGTACTTCTATCATCTCAGAATCCAGATCACTCAGCAGGGAGGCACCTAATCCTGTCAATTCGGATGCCAAACTGCATCTGCCATAAAGCATGGCATCCCCATTTGCTCTTGAAATGCTGCTGGTGTTAGTTCTGCATACTTTTTTGCCCAGTTGTATAATAGAAAGCATGTTTGCCCCAAGAAGCCAGTTTGTCTTCCCCTATTGAAATGATCTAAACCCACATCTTCTTCTTCCTAGGATAATTCTCTAACTTTCAGGTTATGGGCTAGGCTGAGCGGGAGGGCATATCCATACCTTCTGTTGAAGCTGGGCGACTTCAGTGCCAGAACGCTAAGGGTCATGGAACCAGATAGAGAACAAGCAAGAGGGAATGTGACTGTAGTTTAGTGAGGAGCAGTCTTGCAGGAGGAGGAGTCCTGGATGTGTCCGTGTTTCCAGGATCACTCAAGTACAGTTAGATTCACTCATGCTTGCTTTTCTTGCACTAATCTTGTCATCTTGACTGCCCAGTGACTCCGTTTTACATAGTTACTGTGCATCTAAAGAATCAGATATAAATAGAGTATAGGCATGTCCCATCACTTTGGATCACAGCAGAATGATGTGGGAGTTAAACGCCTTGTCTGGATCTCTTCTGAGCTTGAGCAGTAGCTGAAGTCTGGGCATGTCTAGTTAGGCTAACATACAGACGTCTGGATGCCTAAGCAGTCTTGCAGCCTCTGAACAGGATTAAGATTAATTTGGATTACTCTTGATCACTGTATGTGCCTTTGTTCCATCTAAGACCTATTTAGGTCTTGACAACTAGATTTGGACCTGTCCCCAAATGACTTGGCAAAGGCCAAAAAGGAAAGTCATCACAGCGGGCAGGAGTTCCTGGCATCCAGCCATTTGTACACTCTCTTTCATCTGCTTGTGGTTTTCTTTTTTTCTTCTTTTTGTTCTCCTGGCATACCATGTGCTTGGCAGTGATTCAGGCAGTGGACAAAAACAGTATATAAATAAACTGATTGTACTGTACAAGGTAGTATTGACAAATGATGAGAGGATGGAAGAAAGGGCAGATGGGAGGGGGAAAAAGAGAGGAGAAGAAATCAGAGATAACTAAATAGGAAAATGGAAGAAAGGAGAAGTAAAAGGATTTTTAAAAATGAATGAGAGAAAGAAAGATGAAAGAAATACCCCATAGAAAATTATCAGTTATAGGCAAGAAGCATTGCCTCTGGAAAATTCAATTCAGGGACTAGGAACGGCAGGAGGGACAACGGAAGGCTGAGTCACCACTTTGACAAATTTCTGAAATGAACCCTAATAATAGCTCTGAGCTCCAGCAGTCACAATGCAATCAAATAGGATTTTTTTTTTCCTAAATGAATTTTAGGGACTATTGAAGGGATTAGGCTGCCAAAATAGAAGCTCATATCATCCACTTAGCTCCTGATCAGGTACACAGTGTAATTCTCTTCACATGGTCTTGCCAAGGTACCCAGACTTTACCTGGAGGCAGGGACCACCTGTAGGCATCAGGGGTTCTCCATGACCATTCAGTCTTGGACATTTCTCATATGACTGCCTGTAAAGGAGCCAATTGAACTAACTAATAGCAATATTGTGGTTGGCTTCTGTTCAGTATGATAGAGACTGGATTAAAATCCTTTATGCATTTTCCATAAGGTACCCAAAAAACCACAACATGCTTCTTCTGAATTTCACTGTGGGCTCAGTTCAGTATAACTAGTTCAGTATCCTGTAATCCATCCCCTGTACTACACCAGGTTTTCACCAATAGTAATAGAGTGCAACCTGGCTAAAATGAGATGGTGACAGAGGGAGCTTTTCTGGAGGAGACAGTTATTTTTATTCTGCAGTTTTTCTAATATCTAAATAAGCAACAAAGGACTATTCTAAAAGATTGCAAACTCAGTTGTCTGTTGTCAGCAGCTTTTCGAAATCCTGTATGACTTCAATTTATTTTTCCATGCAGTCGATCAATATCTTCAAATGTATAACCCATTATCAATGTAGAAGTGTGATTGGATGAATCTGGTTTTCTCTGTGATGCCACTATATGATTACATATTGGACTGGATGAAAATAACAAAAAAAAAAAAAAAAAGACACGGCAAAGTGCTCAAGGTTATGCGAAGGGACAAAAATACATTTTCAATCCCTGTCTCTGTTTCTGCCTGTATTAACCAGGAGATGTGCAGCAGTGAAGCAACTGAGTTTATTTTTTAGAGGAGCAGATAAGAGAATGAGGTCCTGATACAGCAAATGCTTCGTTCTAGCTGTACACTTCTGTCACTCCATTCATATCAATAGAGTTACATCAGCATAAATCTGGAGTATGGGAGTGGTGAGTCAGACCCCAAGACTCTTTTGTTACTTCTCTGTCCAGGGAAGATTAGAGCAACAAAGATGAGGGCCAGGTCTTGGTGAATCACACCCATCAGAACTTCTCTTCCTTGCTGCCTACAGATTGCAGAGGTTATTGCTACTTCATTTATATTGGAGTTTTATTTTTTCCTTGAAACCATGGGAGCAAGAAACTTTAATTCATAAAATATATATATACACATAAATAAGCTTAGATTTTGATGTGATCACATGGCTT